GGTGGGCATTTCGCGCACTTACACACCACACAACCGCTCGCGTCTTTTGTGTAGCCGTGAGCGCACTGCCTAGAATTCACCAAGTTAAAAAACTGCATTCTCCAACTACCGACAGCTAAAGTATTTAGAGACACTTTGTATAGACAACAACAATGTTGATACTAAGATTTTACATATCTCATTCAGAGGCAACTTAAAGCTAATCTCGCCCGACGTCTCAAATGGCAGCCAAGTTTTAAAGGCACAACCCAGGCAGAGGTTTTTTATAACTCTTCTCTTCGGTCAGAAGTATAGAACCCTAGGGGACAATCACAAATGTGGCGTTCACGTGCACGGAATTCGACCGACAAGAACGCTTTGGGCTTGCAAAGTAAGCTGCTCGAGCTGCAGCGAACGAGCTCTCTTATCAGGCCGTTGTCTGGTGCTCTCTCATCTGATGCGCTCTCTCGCCCCATACTCTCCTCTTCGCGCTTAGTCTCTCGTTCCTTTAGCACAGCCAATTAGGAAGGTGAGTGAGCCCTCAACCTGAGCGTTTTCGACGGATTCTTTTCCTTTTTTCTTCACTGCCGGCCCACTTGGCACCGATACATTCACATTCGTGTGCAAGAGCCACACCAGTGCGATCCTGGGGCATGCCTTTAAGAATTATATGACCATGAGACTATGCCGGAGGAGAAAACTGGTGGGGGATATTACCTGTTAAAGTTTACGGCCAGATCTCAGAGACAACGGTTTGTCACCCCCATCTCCAGTGTTCCTATTTTTAGTCTTGTCTTATCTCATCACAGGTAATAGCATTGGCCTTCCGCGGTTCGAAAATGAGAAGACTAAAAACTTTGCTCACTTGCAATGGGTGGATGTATCTGCGCGGTAATGATTAACAGCATCCTCGTTCCGTTGTTTTTTTTTAGCCCAAATCAGAAAATCGGCACCCAGTCGCGAAGGAATTGAACTCAGCCTCGGATGAAACCCTTCTACTTACAGGAAGGTCTTTCAGGGCGTGCCAAGCTTTTTGAAAACGGTCTTTTGCATGATATAGGGGCACATGCGGGAACCACAGAACCATGGTTCAATTTTTCCTGAACGGCCCTCTGAATACCAGAAAAGGGGTCCCTAGTTCGATTCCTCGTGGTGACAAATTTTTGCATTTCGAGTTGACGTTCCAAAATTCGCGCAAAATGGAGTTAGCATGAATAATTAGTACCATATTCATGATTAGGAACCGTCAGTACTAACACTAAGCAGCCCCACTGTGGTGTCACACCTTTTTCACCAGTTTTTCAATCAAAGTCTATTTGTAAGGGTTACTGACGGTCCTAATCATGAATATGGTACTAATTATTCATGCTAACTCCATTTTGCGCGAATTTTGAAACGTCAACTCGAAATGCAAAAATTTGTCACCACGAGGAATCGAACTAGGGACCCCTTTTCTGGTATTCAGAGGGCCGTTCAGGAAAAATTAACCATGGTTCTGTGGTTCCCGCATGTGCCCCTATATCATGCAAAAGACCGTTTTCAAAAAGCTTGGCACGCCCTGAAAGACCTTCCTGGTTAGCTGCGCCTTTCTCACCGGCAATTTCGCCACAGATGGCGACTCAACAAGATCACTTTTGTGAATAAAGGTGCTCTCAGCGCACAGCCTCTCAGCATTTCAAAATTTGGGGGAGTGGTGGAGGTTGCTTGTCGCTTTGTGGAGGAGAGGGGTCAAGGTCAAGCGCATAGGCGCATGCAGTTCTCGAGTATGAACCAAAAAACTCAGTTTAAGGTGTTTCTGACGTACTTTTCCATATTTTTCGCCACTTCAGAAGCTTGACGAAGCGACTACGATATAAGAGGGAGCGCATCGGGAGCATATGCACTCACACGAAGCAGTTATCTTGCTCCTATGTGCGGGGGCCGATGTGTATGACTTTGACAAGAAAATGCCGCGGGTTGCTGCAGACAGGACGTCAGACTCCGCCAAAAGCGATCAGCCAGCTGCGTGTTGATCCTGGTTACGTGTTGATTTGGACGAGCTGCGTGGCTAACAGTGGCGCAAATGAAATGCAAGAAGCAGTGAACACGTTCATAACTCCACTTTCTGAGCTGCTACCTGTTGATGAGTGCAAACCAACGATCAAAAAAAGGAGGTCCCGTTTTGCGTTTTCTTGACGGATTTTTCTGCTCTTTTCGCAATGGTGTACCATTGAGCACCACCACGTCACATTAAACCCTTCTTGAGTTTTTCGTAATCGCTGCCTTAAGTTCCAATAGTGGAACCCCTACCCACAACCTACTATCGAGGAATTGTTGACCCATAAGGAACCAACTTACTTGTCACAATTACGTGCAGAGAGCTCAGGGCAACGACCTGGACGACTGGAAGGAACGCATTCACATTGGAAACATCCACGTTCATCCCGTATCAGACCGGCCTCACATCGCAGCGGGCAGTGCTCAATCGACGGACAAGCTACCGGCGCATTGGAGAGTGTATTTTTCTAGTAGGCCTTTCTAAAAAAATGATGATCAATCGCTAAGCCGAAGATGAAGGGGCCGGGCGCCTCATTCTAAGTGATTAATCCAGACTTATAGGGCATGTCGAACTTACCGTCACACACAGGACAGCACTGCCCTTCGACTTTACGTGGATTTTCGCATTCTGTGCTGCACATGTGTTTCTCACATACCGGAGTACCGTCTTCCGAACAAGTGCATCTGAAGTGCTGCTTTGAGAAACGCTACAGAAACATTCAAAACCTTGAGCTTCTCACGTGGTGCAGTCGTCCTTCTGCCAACTTTCGTTTTTACGCTTCTTCTCGAGTTTTTCCGTCTGACATCCGACACACACCGGACAACATTCACCGTCCGGTATCACGATCCACGAGCACTGTGCTTAAAAGGAAACTGTTTGACCATGGGGACCGCACACTTCGCGGTATATCCACATCTTTGCGCTTTTTTCTCCTCAATCAAAAAAGTTAACCCATTAATATTGAGAACAGTATCCTAGAAAAGTACGATTACATCTTGGAAACGCAAAGAAAGTGTTGAATGGAATCGAGCAAAACAAATTTTCATCAAGTGGCCGTAGGGGTGCGCTACGTTCATAACTTTGCCAGCGCTGGGTTGGAGTTCGAAGAATTTCAGGAGCACAGCTAATTGATATGTGTTCAACTGATAAAACATCCGTTGGTCTCAGTAAATAGAGGAGAGTGGCAAAGCATTCCATGGAAAGACTTAAGGCACATGCCACGACAGATGACAAGTTTAACGACGCCACTCTCGGGAGCAAGATAGCACGACTAAAAGCGCATAGGTTACGTCGAATTTGGTCTCGATGGTGTGTGGTAATGGCAGAGCAGGAGGCTGGATAAAGTGGATTCGCCCATAAGGCTTCATACCAGGGTGAATATCGCTTGAGGATTCCTCAACGGCACGTCGAGGATTCTCTGCCCGATCAGACACGATCTCTCGCGCGGACATTCACACTCGCCATGGGTGCCGTCTGTGCTCTCCGCGCGGATGTTCACTCTCGGCACTACTCTCGCATGGTAGAGAGCTATGGTCGAGCTATGGTCGAGGAAATCCTCGACCGTTATTCACCCTGCTCGATGGACTGCCTCATCGTGGTAGCTTTTGCCCAGGCAAAATGGGCCATGCCTCCATTAACTGTGGGTAGTAGGGGATCTCAGCAGTAAAAAAGTAAAAACGATTCTAACAGAGTCGATACTACCTGATTTAATTAGATATTAGCAAATGAGAAGTCAACAAGCGCAAAGTTTCTCGCCACTGTTATCAAACATTTTCTGGAATCGACTGCGAAACTAAGGGACTCGAGTTGAGCGTGTTTGCTTTGCTTCCCCTTACGGATCATGGACTCAACCTCACATTCACCTCCATTTTTTGGCAATGACCCACATCCGGGCTATCCTGGGAGAGAAAGATGACTCATTCTAACGAAAAAAAAATCTCACCAGGTGTTTTGGGACATGTCATTTTGCTACACACGGCGACTCCCTTCTTACATCGACAAACTTCACATGATGAGGTGTGCCATTCTTGTCCATCCGAATACGTTTTCCATCACGAATACACGATTTCGACTGAATGAAAACCACAGATAACTTCGCACTGAATTTAGGGTAACTACACTAAATTTAGTCCTAAGTTAACAAAAGCACACGAAAATCAGCTAATAAATAACCGAACTTGGAGTTTCGAAAAATAATTGAAAATAGTAAAAGCAAGGAGGATGAAAAAAGAAGTTTTGTGAACTTCTGACGATTTCTGATCAATCAATCCACTTATCGCTAGCGAGGAAAACCTACAAGTAACTGCGGATCGTCTTCGCACTTCCATTCATCGCAGCATCGTCCTGGTGTTCCAGTACCCTTTCGAATGATATGTAGCCGCTTGCCTTCATCACAGACAGCTGGGCGACATACGGCTGCTCGACATCGACATCTGAAGCGGGATATTATTATGCGTTTTTGTGTGCTATAACTGTTCCCGAACAGAATATTCCGTTATAGGATCTCCAGTCCACCTAATGCGTTTTAAGGCTATAAACAACTAGACCGCATCTAATCATTACCCAGGTCTTATAGGGCAGCACATTCCAGGTGGTACATGCTCGGCAGGACGAATACTGTCCGGTGGGCAATCAACGCCTTCGTCTTCGTCGAACACTTGTGGTGGACAGCGGAACGATTCGCACTGAACTTCTGAAAAACTGTGATTTTGAGGATTGGTTAAAAAGGGCTAAGTGTAAATTATAAAGGATAAAGGATAAAGCATTTGCCGTTGATCAATCCCTTTTTGGGATGCGGCACGCATTCTACTTCCATTTGTACATTCGTAGTGGCGTTTGAATGCGATGTGGCCTATACAATGACTTGCGGGGGCCAGCCGATGTACAAGTCAGTGTTTTTATCCTCCCAGACAAGTCTGGTACCAATTAACCGACCCCGGAGGGATGGAAGGCTTGGTTGGCCCGGGCGACTCACGACCCAGGATTTGATCCCCGGACCGCTCGCGTGGTAAGCGTGCCACTTGCCACTACACACTTCCGCCCGTAACCGTTAGACGTACGTTAGCAAAATGCAATTCAGAATCCTTAAGTAGCACGTCCACGCTTGAGCAGCTCTGGTGGAGCGTAGTAAAATCGCCTACGATGGATAGGCGCAATACAAATATCGAAGAGGACCCAAGCAAAGATTTTGGGCGGAGAGGTCCACCTACTCGAGAGAATAAAAGGTCAGAAAGTATACATGGGCAGAAGCTTCGGATAAAAATAGTCTTGGAATTATGCCGTCCAAAATTACAGCGGAGAGGAAAGTTTTCCCTGTTAGCCATACACCCAACTAGTAGCTCACAGAGATCAGTTTTCTGCTCAATCAATTACTACTAATCAACTAATCAATAACGAACCTCGTTTCCGACATTCGAACACGTCACAACACGATCCGGGCTGATTTCCACCCTCTCTTTCACCAGAACACGCTCCATACCCTCTTCACAGACCGGAACAAACGCTTCGCATTTCTGAAAAATGTTACGGTAGCAGCTGGAAAAACAGCATGTCACAAGCACTTCATGAGGAAAATCGAAGGAGAAATTTTGTTTGTGAGTTCAAAACGTTACCTGCAAATCACAGTGGCAAGTTCCCGGTCGTCCACAACATTCTCCAGGTGGCGGTGGAAGAATGACTTGCCGCGAATCGGCCGGACACTCTGGATGGAACACCACCGAACATTGCGCTTTTAGACATCGCTCCGGAAACATTTCTGAAAAAGCATCAACATGTAACTGATCGAACAGGATTGATTAGAATCTAATAGAACTCGAAAATTAATTTGGAGAATCTCAACAATTACTGTAATTTGTAGTGCAAAAATTGTAGAAGCAGGATAAAATAGTGAACAAAACCGAAATACGGAACTAGATCTAGAGTGCGCCGTGCATCTAATCGTAAGATGAGACTTGGAGTGAAAAGAATGGAAAATGAAGTAATGACAGGCGAATCTTTGAGTTGGTCATTCCACGGCAAATATTAAATAGCTAGATGATACTGGATATAGAGCGACCTTTAAAATTATGAATTGCAGATTTTCTCTAGATTCTGCCCCACGACTTCTGAATTCTATAGCACTATGCAGAAAACGTTAAACATGAAAAAACGTGAATTATTTATTTGTTTTCTTATTTATTTTTATTAATTATAAGATTAATAGGTATGCTATTCTAGATTTACCTATATTTTTTTCATGAATTCTGCAATAAAAATAAACCGGCTGATGTCAACCAGAAAGCAACAATTCAAAGCTGAGAGAATATGCACAGAGAATTCTTCAGACTTCAGACGAGGACAGGAATTTGAGCGTAATTTTGCTCTAGGATTCGTCTTCGCAGTTGCTGACACGATTACTCATGGACTCTGCTTGAGAAAAAAGATTGGCGGCTTCTTCACAGACAGATGGTCGTGATCAGACAAACTATATTGATATAATACTTATCTTGACCTGTCCCTCTTTCTCTTCGAAGAAATATTATATTTTAGACTTCGGTAACTGATGAAAAAGTAAAACGGCGAGCAAGACTGACCAAAATTTTCGAGATGGGCCAAGTATTCGAAGTTAATTCGGAATGACATTGTGCCCGATCGCATACTTTTTTTATATTTTCTTACACGCGCGAAGAAGAGGCAAAGTATTGATTAGTTCGAGAGCGATTCGATCTGGGAGGGCACTCTCGTCAGGTGCACGATATTCTACTCCTTGATGACAGTTTCTTTTGTCTCTTTTGCATTGCCTGTGACACATTCACAACCCACACAGTCTTCTCGCATTCCCTAGAAAAAAAGCGGGGAGAAATGATTGATACGTAGACTCGGCACCAGTCCTCATTTCGTTATGCAATAAAGGACATATGCTAATCGCTCGGTCGGCAATTACCGAGGTCAGAACCGTCTGTGATTGACTGTACTGTAATGAGGGCTAATACATAAATTGTTCTGCAAATTGAATTTTCAGAAGAGCAAGCAGAACTCTGCTGTGCAAGCGAAAAAATGAGAAATGGATGCCTAGTGGAGACAAGGTTGTCTCTAACCAGGAAAGGCATTCAACTTCCCATGGAACTTTGAATTGAGACCCAGATATATCGATAGAGCTTCAAACGCTGATTACAAATATGGAAACTAAAACTGCAAAATGAACCTGCCAAGGAAGTTGTGAGCAGTCAAAGTTGGCTGAAAGTGAAATCGTTACGTAGTTTGAGCGTAGGTTGGGCTTCAAAGTCGCCGTGGAATGAAGGTAGTGCTCTCGAAATTTGCAATACCTACGGGTAGAAAAACTTATGACCTCCCGGGTAAAGAGCGAGGGCAGTTCCACTACTCCGCGGCCACTCTGAAAGCCTGGGGTCCAGCATTGTTCATATACAACGCTTTATGTTAGCCGACTTTGACTGCTCACAACTTCCTTGGCAGCTTCACTTTGCAATTTTAAGTTCATATTGGGATCACCAATTTCTCTATCGACAACTGGATCAATTTAAAGTTCATGAAGAACGAACGCATCCCCTGTAAGACAGTTATACGTTGCAGTTGGTATTGTTCCACTGTAATGTAGATTTGAAACGCTCATCACTGCCACACAACGCGTGGAGGCATTAGCCCAAAAAGCGAGGCACTACATCTTATTTGTCACGCACCACAACTGACGTGCTTCCAGCAGGGTGAATATCGGTCGAGGAAATCCTCGACAGGGGGGTCGTACCTGTTGGGCTGGTCCATGGGGGGTCGTACTCTTGGGGTCAGTAACAGAAGTGGTATCATGGTGCAGATAGGTAATAGGGTATAGCGCAGCAGAAAATGAAAACATCCGAAAAAACATGATATTAAATTTTCTTTGCAGGTTCAGTCGCTCCATTCCTCCACCTTCATGAGAAGGGCGTATTTGAAGGCAGTACAAAGAATGAAAGTGCATCCCCGCAAAGAAGAGTGCCACATGTGCGCACGCGCTGCAAAGGCACCTCCTCCGCCTATCACTCGCTCCTTCTCCCTTAATACCTCGCTGAGAATGACGCTGTTGTTAGGGACCCTGTCGGAAAAACGACAACCGTGAAGAAAAAGCGCTGGGCAAATGAAGTTGTTTTTTAGGTTACAGGAATAGCACAACACACTATGTCTACTACAATACAGTTTCGTTCGAAGGTCCCCATCATATAACACCTTTCAATCGATTCTGCAACTGTGAGTGGAGGAGGGATGCATGGCTTATACCAATACCAAATCGGATGATGACGATTGCTCCTATTCTTATTGTTTGCGTTCAAAGATATTGTTCTAGACACATTCCGAGTGTTGCCAACGAGTCACACTTGCAATGGTGAATGAGGGAGCGGATTTCCAGGTGGCCGGATCCGACCTCGATAGATCCTCGACGCAATTATCTCTTCAACCAAAAAGCTGTAGAAGAAAACTAAACAGACCATCAGGAAGCGCAAACCTTCCGCTTTCCAAAACTATCTTCCCTTTTTCAGGATCTTACAATATAAGAGATATATTGCTCTTGAAGTGGCAAAAACTCGCGTGAAAATTTCGGCCTCCTCGACATTTACTCGACGAAATTTGAGAGACCCTATCTTTCTGCAAGGAAGGCTTCCAGAGCAATTTCGATGCTTGTTGGAAACGCGAAATCCAGCTCTATCTAACTCCTACCTCAAGCTGCTTCAAAGGTTGTGAAATGGAGGAATGCAACCTTTTCATCGAGGGTGTAGATTCGGACGTTTTTTTTTTGAAATTTCGGCAAATCTGACCCAGTGACAATCGCGCCGCAGCTGCCGTTGAATCGGCCTTTGATACACTCGGCTGTTTTGATATACTCAAGCAAGAATCAAGATTGAATCGCAACCCCGTGTCTTCAGGATTTCTGTGCGTTTCTGAACGAACCTCGCCTTGAGGTCACACAAAGTTAATGCCTCTTTCCTCGAGTCGATATTTCAGTATGTACACAAAAGTATGCAGCGATGGAAGACGTGCATAGATGACAAGATGAAGCGTCCTTAGCATTATTTTGCAGAATTTTTTTTGATTGTTTTGATTTTTTTTTGATTTTTGTTTTGCAGGATTTATTTTAATTGAATTAATTTGCTCTGTTAGAGGGGGTCGTGCCAGGATCTCGATTTCGGGGGGGGGGGGGTCGTACCTCTGCGACCACGTACTCGACACGATTTTCACCCTGCTTCCAGGGCACTGTTACTGAAAGAGTATTGAATGAAGTGGACTGCAGTGACGGTGCTGTCGTGGTCGGACAATCACAAATACAATCCTCGTCCACGCCCCTTTATCCCTAGAGATCGATCGTAGGCTGTGTAATTCACTCTCCCTATGGCGTAGTGGATATCATGTGAGCCAATAGGCATTCAAACAAAAACGAAAGTTTAAATGATCGAGGAACGCACGGTGTATCGTAACCACAGACTCACCAACACCAATCCCTTCACCCTTACGCACAAAACTTTAATACGTTGACCTTTACAAATTTTTATGTCCCTTGCAGCGTCTGTGATATACAGAAACAGCAAGATAAAATACGTGCGCATCACAGACGTCAGAATGATTTCTGGCTACAACTGTTCACCCATATTGAATTGTTGACCGGCCAGCGCTCTCATGAACTTCTCGCATTTATTAATCGAAAGATGTCCCCTTCTATCAATAAAAATATTCCCAAAAAGGGCTATCGCAAGATGCTGGGGCATCATCTAGAACTGAGCCCCGGCGGGAACAGAAGAACAGGGGAAATTTAAAAAATTGCTCATGCAATTTTGAGTCTTTTCTCCTCCGCCTGAAGCTAACCTTAATCCAGTTTTTGATAAAAACGAAATGTTCCATGCGGTCTGAAAGCATGCCTCCACAATGCTCGGTATCTTGCAACTGCGCCTCCGAAAAGTGCGCAGAACGAGTCACATAATGTCCGGAATTAATTTTCAACTCATGCATAGTAATGAAGATCCCATTTTTATAGTGAAAAATAGTTTAAGAAAAACGTGAGCAAATGGTACAGGAAAATTACATTTCGAGCCAGTAGCAGCAGAAAACATTATTGAGCGGCATATTTCTTCTGGAAAATGGATCTATGGGCAATTGCTGAAATAGGAGTGCCTCATTACTCATGCATGAAATTCTTCACTGTTGAAATTTCATACCCTCCCCTTCAAGCGAGAAAGTGTCGGGTGCAGACCATGCACCACAAGTGACGACGGCCTTCACAAAATGTTAATGTTTTCTGCCAATGAAATGATTAGCCTGTTGCAGTTGTATTCTATCGATTGTCACTAATTACAACTATCATTTACCAGAAATCAGCTATCACTATGAACAACTTCTAACCAGATTTACTTGGAGGCCGTCGTCAGTTGTGGTGTTTGGTCTGCACCCGACACTTTCTCGCTTTTTGAAGGGGAGGTATATGTATATCATAGAGTCTCTCCTTCGAAGAACTAAGATGCTGTGAGCCGCATTGAGCAGTGGTACTTCATATGCATTCATGAGATTCAACGTTTCGATCTATTATACCTCACGCAGTCTTGCTTTACGTTTCAAATGAGCAAAGGATAGAAAGATAGAGCACCTTAGGTTTACTGAATCTCTTTCAGAATGCGCCAATCAGAATCGTATCGGCAGTTGAATGACGAACATGAGCAGCAGAACCGATATATGTAACATTCGGCATTTTACCCTCTCAAGTATATGTGGCGCCAGCTAATCAAGAGTGGAGGAATGG